CTGGCTCTTTCGAAACAAAATGTTGGAGGAAGTATTTATTGCTTACAAGAGCCCTTCATCCATGGGTTTGTTTGGGTCAAAAATGCTTAAAGCTGAACACCAGGGGCCAGTTGCTGTTCCAGATCTTCTGCATGCTTGGGTTGGTTTGATGGAGTCATTGAGGAGAGAGAGGGTCTGTCTCTTGCATTTCAGTCCCACTCTGGATCCCACTGTGTTTACTGTGGTCCACACTCCAGAAAATGTTCCTCTTGGCCATGGAAGGCTGTGACTAAAACCACAGAACTTCCAGCAGCATCCTGATGGTTTTATCCACAGAGAATATCCCGAGTTGAAACAGGCCCACAAGGATCGTCGAGTCCAGTTCAGTGGGATCTCTTGGCTTTCTGCTCCCTGGGACATCCAGTCACTGAGATACTGCTGTAATTTTTGCTCTTTGCCTTTCAAAGTCCTTCAGCACTTGCTTTCACCCATTCTCTGTTCTCTGGGCTTTGTTTATTCCCCTTAGTCTGAAAAATGTGTAAATATTTGAGATTTAGTTCAAATTGAGCTATTGCTGCTGTTGCTCGTGTGTTAGGTTAGTCAGCAGTAAAAACACCGAATCCAAAAGGATCATGGGGGAAACTTCCAACAAAATCATATGAAAATGTCTGTAAAAAGCTAGCTGAGGATCTTGGAATCATGGAATCACTTAGGTTGGAAAAGACCTCTAAGATCATCGAGTCCAACCATTCCCCAACACTGTCAAAGCCACCACTGACCCATGTCCCCAAGTGCCACATCCACAGGGCTTTTAAATCCCTGCGGGGATGGAGACTTCACCATTTCCCTGAGCATCCTGTGCCAGTGCCTGACCAAGCTTTCCACCAACCTGAGCCTCCCCTGACACAGGTTTAGGCCATCCCTTCTTGTCCTGTCCCTCATTCCCTGGGAGCAGAGCCTGACTCTCCCCCATGGTACCTCCTCCTGTCAGGGAGCTGCGCAGGGCCAGAAGGTCCCCCCAGAACCTTCTTTTCCCCAGACTGAGCCCCACCCCAGCTCCTTCAGCTGCTCTAGACCCTTTCCCAGCTCTGTTCTCATCTCTGGCTCCAGCCCTACAGTGTTTCTTGTCGTTTTCCATGTATTCAGTCTTGGTGGGGATTTTAACCCACCTGCTTTCCCTGGATTTTCTGGGTATCAACAAATATTTGGGATAATTCCAGTTTGAAATTTCAGCCCTCAGCTGAATGCAGAAGGCCAGGAGTGAGGGATCCTGACTGGACCGGGGGGTGCTGTGGGATGGCAGCAGACAGATTTGCTTAAATATATTTAGTGACTTTCTAATCTCAGTTCTTAAAGAATCTCCTGTGTGTGTACAGATGTGTTTTACTGAGACTTTTAATTTGAGCAAACTTGGGTTCCTGAGATTACATCTTTTCCAGCCTCTAAAACATAGGCTGCTGGTGCTGGAACTGTAAGTCCTTGTTCCAGAGCACTTCAAAAGCAGATTTTAATTCTTAAGCCTGTCTTCCCCTTGTTCCTTTTGACAGAAGATGTTTCCAGAAGTTTATCTGTTTTTAAGGTGGCCTGAATCTGATCATGACAACTTTAAGAACAATTAATTTGGCAATGAAATCTTACCAAAAAATCAAACATTATATCAGGATCTTAACAAAAGTTGGTCAACCCAAAAAGTGGAGTTTCTGGCGTATAATAAATAATATATAGATCCTTTCTAACTTGATAAGCAGAAAACTATTGATTAAAACCTTGTCTGTAGCTTATTTCCTGACTCGCCGAGTCAAAGCACGTTTGATCTGTCTCAGTGTGGAATCAGCAATATTTTTGTGTGGGTGCAATATGTCCCTCTCCCTTTGATCCCCAGACATTTGTTTTGGCATTGCAGCAGCTATTTTTATTTTGCTTTGTGAGGGAAATCAAAATGGTTTGATGAGTATCCCTGTGTTCCAGATCTGCTCAAATGTCACGTAAGGAGACTTGTGGAAGAGAGCAGAAGCTGTAGGTGTTGACCTGAAGACAAGCTGTATGTGATGTATGGGATATAGTTCAGAGACTAGAATTCATTTATGTAGGATAGTACAGAAATAAATAATTTCTCATTAAATAAAGCATAAAACCTTATTTTAAATGCTCTGCTGCAGCTCCTGAATTTGAAAAGAAATAATATTCCCTGATGGTCTTTAGATTGGGTAGTTTTGGAATCTGTTTAGGATAGTGAGGGGCTTTATTTAAAATGTGATGTCAGTGAAGATCTATTCTAAAAAATAAATATTTTATTGAAATAAAATAAAAAAAAAAAATCAAAGAAAGCCCCCCCTCTAAACCCTGACTCATTTAAAATAGATTCATTTCAGTGCAGGTATTTTTTAAATGGATGAAGGCAAAGTTCTCCATCCACCTTGTATTCTCGACATGTTGCTTTGCCAGGAGTTTCCTTCCTGTTCTTAGGGTTCAACTATCACTTCTAAAAGTAGCTGTTGAACACTTTGGGGTCTGGGCCACTGATTGTGGGATCCAAGCATAGCAAGGAAATCACCTCTTCAGGGGCTTCCCAGCTTTCCATGTAGCTGAGACCACCTTGGGAACAAGAGCAGTGGCTCGTCCCCCACCTGCACATTCTGGAGGAAACTGGGCAATGCTGGTGTCAGTGAAACTTCCCTGCCTGAGCGTTCAGGAGACTCGTGGCAGTCACACTCCCAGCATTCCTCAGCACTGCAGTGCTGCAGGCTTAATGAGAAACTCGTTTATTTTGGAAAAAAGAAACAAACAGGGACATTCAGGGGTGAAGTCCTGCACATCACTGTAGCCTCTAATGAAAGGTAATGAAAAGCATTGCGACATAAACCCATATGTGATGCTGTAGGAGAAACAACAACGTTCTTTTTGGCTTCAAATAGAGGTGGAGTTTGTTTTCAGTTGCATGTTGGAACAATTATTTGGGCTGGTTTATGCCAGGACAAAGCGTTAGGGCAGTGAGAGGCATTCTGGATCTTGGCCTTCGTCTTTCCCCAGAGACTGATTTCTCTGGTGTGACAGTGGCACTGATTGTCTTCCAGCTTAAGCAAAAAAGTGTAGTTGGAGAGTAGGGATAGAAAATTTGCCTTGAATTTTCTATTAATCACTGAAATACTTTCTCACATTAGAGGAAATTAAAAAAAAAAAAATAAATTAGACAGCAACCTCCCCCACCAAAAACAACCTGTATTGCCAAAAAGCCTTCCCCAAACCCTTTTCATCAGTAAAAGGGAAGAAAAAGCAGTTAGTGGGAACTAGAGCTCTTTGTGTTGGAAATGCCGGCTGCTTTCCAGCCCTTGTTGGATAACTCGGGCATTTCAAGAGCTCACTCTTTAAAAGTGCTGTTTTGGTCTGAGCTGCACCAAAATCCTGTCAGTCCTGTTGCTCACCTGTTTGCAGAACACACTTGGCTTTGGTTGTTTTTTGGGTGAGGAATCCCTCGCTAATTGTGGCCATATTTTGTAGTTACCTTGTGATATCGCTTTTTACTGCCACTGTGTTATGGTCAGCAGTGTACAGAAGCTGTGAGCGTACTCAGTCATGGAATCATGGAATTGTTCAGGTGGGAAAAGCCCTCTGAGCCCATCCAGTCCAGCCATCCCCCAGCAGTGCCCAGGCCACCACTAACCCATGTCCCCAAGTTCCACATCCACAAATCTGTTAAATTCCTCCAAGGGATGGGGTCTCCACCCCTGCCATGGGCAGCTGTTCCAATGCCTGACAACCCTTTCCATTAATAAACTTTTCCTGACATCCAACCTAAACCTCCCCTGGCTTGGACTGTGTTAATCCCTTCTCCTGTTCCAGCTGGGCAGGGAGAGGAAGTGAGACCATGTGCTTAATTGCATTTTAAGAGCAAAACATTGGCAGAACGGCTTGTGGTCATGCTGAATGCTGCTGTCTCAAAAAATCAAGGAAAAAAGAGGTGGGAATAAGCTGATAGAAGACAAACTATGCTTTATTCCTTCAGCTGGGGTCAGTGACATGAGGCCACTCAGATGATGTTCCTCGAAGGGAGCATTGGTGAGAAGGATTTCAAGGCAATGTGTGACGAGCCACTGATTTCAGGGTTTAATTGAGATAATTATGTGGGTATTTTCTGGTTCCTTTTTTATTCTGCTGCTGTGGCTAAAATGAACTAAAATGTAGCAACCGTGGCTGGTGCCATAAGTTTTTAGGTTATTAATATGTACCAAAGCTCTACTCAAGGTGATAATTGAAACCAAGGAGAGAACCCCAAGCAGCAAGAACAAAGACAATCTTTAAATAGGAATTCCTGCTTTCTGGGTCTCTAGGTAGGTGCCTGTCCAAAAGCCCAGGGATCTTCCTTTGATCTCAGCTTTCATCCCATCAAGCAGAAACTCTTTGATCGTGGCTGTGGTGAGGATGACCCTTCCTCGGTGCTGTTTTTCCTCTCTCTGGGAGAGCTGCTGGAGGAGTGCTGAACCTGCCTGCTGTGATTTGCAGCTCCCACTGGTGGTACCTGGAAAACTGCAAGTTTTCAGGAACCCTCAGATTTACTAGAGGGGTTTTTAGCCTTCCCGTTTGTAGCCCTTCTGCTGCCTGTCCTGGCCTGTGCTTTCACATTGCTTGCTGTTGCTCCTGTGCAATATCCACCCTTCTCTTTCCTTCTCCCCCAGGAAACCTTTCAAGGATCTTGATGAATTTATTATATTTCTGTTTAATGTATGTATTTATTTTCTTCCTTTTTGCCATTGGTGATGGGATTTGTGGTGTATCTCATGTGTGATCCACTCAAATGCATGACAGAAACCAAGCCAAAGTCAGGGGTCCATCCCACAGCCCTGGGATTACACCCAGTTCCCAGTGCTGTCAGGACCATTGGCATAACGTGGCATAAATTAAAATAGCAGACAAAAGCTTTGGCAAGGGAGAAATTTTATGTTGGATGTGGGAGCTCGAGATGCAAAAGCCATTTTAGTGCAGAGCAGGAATGATTTCCAGTCACATTTTTTTCTCTATTTCAGGCTGTGACCGTGCGGAATTCCATGGCCAAGTCATTGTACAGCGCCCTGTTTGACTGGATCGTGTTCAGGATCAACCACGCTCTCCTCAACTCCAAGGACATGGAGGAAAGCACCAAGGTAACATCTCAGCAGCTCTTTTGGCTCCTCTCTTGGGTTTTTTAAATAGATAACTGAGTGGTAAAACATTACCCAGGCATGCTGCTTAACATGAAGTTAATTTTTCCTTGGATCATAACTGAGTGCATCATTATTCAAAGTGGTGCTTGCTGAGCTGAGAAGGATGAAGCACCTTATTATAAGCTCAAAGCAAGCAGGGAAGAGATTTTGCTGTAGCCACAAAAGCCAGTTCCCCCACCCACTCCAGGAGCAATGGCAAATAATTTTCCTCTTTATGTGTAAAACTTGAGGACTGTGTATAATTGAGGGGGGGAAAAGGGAATTCTTGTTACCGCATTTTGATGAAGTTGCTCTGCGATGAAGTGATGAACAAGCTGGGTGCCTGTAAGTATTGAGGCAGTACAGTAGAAAAATTAATTTAAAGAAAAAAGGTCATGATGGGAAGAGTGGAGCTGGTGCAATCCAAACTGAATTGATGAAAGGAATGATGTGAAGTTTCCTGCAATAGCAGGGTTTGGATGCTGTGACCTAGCACATCCTCCTTAACCCTCTTGTGTCCACACTCCTCGTGGCTGGGGGATGCTGACCCCAAAATCTGTGTCCATGCACACAGGCACTTCCAGCTCTCCAGTTACCCTTGGCTTGTGAATCTGAGACATGGTCCAGCAGCATGTGGGTTTTTTTTGGGGGGGATTGTGCATCCAAACTAAAGTCAAAGCTGCCAAAAGGAGGATTTTTGCTAAGCACTGACATTTGGATTGTGCTGTAGGAATGAAGTTGAAGTCTTCATTGCTCTCTCAGTGTGGTCACTCCTTTATTTAATTCCAAAAAAGGCTTGTGGATCGTAATTGTGGACTGGAAATGAAAACATGCTTATGAAATCTGGTTATATGCTTTTCTGACAAAGAAGGGTTGTTACAGTGATAACATCCAGCGAGGCTTCTGACTGCACATGCTGCCTCTCCCTCTGTTTAATATTTTACAGAAATGTTGTATTCTTTCCTGATTTTTTCTGAAGTCATCAGAAGTTTTGTCTGGGCTGTCAGGAAAAAACAAACCACACTGTTTACATATTTGGTGAAGCAGAAAAGTGGATTTGTTTTGACAAGGAAATGCATCTCAAATGCTAATTATTTTTTATAAATGACCCAATGATTTTTTAAAATTATTGTCTGTTCTGTAATATTTAAATACAAATCAGTCTAGGACACTCTTGTGTGCTTAGTCAGCATGGCTGTTAAAGTGAGGCACCACGGTAGCTGTTTATGGGCTATTAAACTTTTGTTCCCAACCTCAAATCTCAGCAGGTAAGAGCCAGAACAGCCCAAATTCCTGCTTTTCTCCAGCACTGCTGCTGCACATTAACCCTTTGCTTCCTCCAGCCATGACTCCCATGGAGCATAACCACCTTCCTCCTTGCCCACCTCCATGTGTCATTTCATGAATTCACAATTCACATGTTTCTGACCCTTTTTTTTTGCCCCAAATTGTAATGATAATATCCAGGTCAGGCAGCAGGAGCTGGGAGTGGTGTTGCCCCTGTGGCAGAGCAGATCCACCCACGCTGGCAAATGCCCAGGACCCAGAGCTGCAGGAATGTGCTCGTGCCCAGATCCAGGGAGACAATCCTGGGCTGCACTTGGGCCCCAGTTTCTGAAGCAGAAAGGCAGCACACAAAACACCAAGAAATATCTGCTGCTTTAGCAGTTTGTCTTCAGAGTCCTCTATGAATTGGATTGATTCTCACAGATCCCCCAGAAATCATTAAAATGCACAAATCCTCCCCATTTTAGGGGTGGAGACGGTGAAGAAGCGATTTATGTGCATTTCAGAGCAGCTTCGTTAACCATCGACCAGCCAATTTTCCCTTGAGCAGTCCCACCACGTCACCTCCTCAGCCCTATTTTTAGCCCCCAGTTTGGCTTGTTTCAGCACAGAGGGAGGAGAAATGTCTCCCTGGACTGGGCAGGGCTGGGAATAGCTGCTCCTTTGCCCTCGAGGAATAACATTGCTGCCAACAAGTGTCCGAGGGCATCCTGGGCTCTGCAGCTGCCATTGAGGCACCAACCAGGAATCACCACAGCAGAGAAATGGAGCCAATGACCTGGTTCTTCCTACCACTTCCCAATCCTCCTGAAATCCTTTTCAGCTCATTCTTGGAGAATCCCCAGATGAGGATACAGGTTCTTCTTACCTTCACATATATTGTTTTGAGGTTGGGCAACACCAGTGAGTAACTGGGAGATAGACTGGGAGCATCTCCAAACCCAGGGAATGCCTCCTTGCTGTAAGGCAATACCTTGGCACTTGGGTGACACCTCCTTGCTGGCATCTACCAGCCAAAAAAAATACCTTTAACACACTAAGTCTATGATTTATGGGAGCAAAATACAGCCTTGCACCTCAGAAATTCCTGAGTGTGTGGTGGGTGAATAATATGTGACTCACACAGCAGCAAATGTCCCAGATTAATCCCAGCTCATGCTTGACACTAATATTCCTCTGACTTTGAAGATACATTTTGAAACAATCCTGTAGGTTCTGAAGGTTCAGAAAATGTCAGATGATGGATTTGGGGCACAGAGCTTTCTTTTATAATAATCACATTATGCAGAGGTAAAACAAGACTCAAAACCACCTCAATTCAGAGTGTGTTTGGAAGAAATTGAGGAGAAAAATTAATACAGAAGTTTCTCTCTTCATGAGTGTAGATTTGATTTTAGTGACACAATGGGAACTGAGATCATTTTCAGATCCCAATATGTGTTTATTTGATATCAGCAGTAAGGAAAAGATCAAAAGATGAAACTGGACAAAGAAAAATAAACACTCAGCCGTTGTTCTTCCATATTGTCCAGCAAATATTTGGAAGATGTAAATCAGAGCTTTGATATCCAAATTTAGTTAAAATGTACAGTGAAATATTTTGGGAAAACACAGTGGGATTTGGTTTATCTTGCTTGGTAACAGGATTTCTAGCATATTATTTCTGACCTGAGTTGTGAATAAGTTATTTGATACCTCCTGGGTTATGGTAATGGCAGAGCTGCCATGGGTCAGATTTGCTCTGACTCCCTTTTCCTTCATCTTCTCTCAATTCCTTTTAGTTCCTTTTATGTTCTCATGATTCCCTACAAATTGTCTGAAATATAACCTTTATTAATGAGGTCAGAGACTTTTCCTTCTCTTGAGAATGAGATTACTAAACCTCCCAGTGCCTCTTATTGAATTCCCCTTCCATAAATCAGGTTAGGAATTGCTGGAAGTCCATCTCACTTCTTAAAACAATGATAGAATGGAGACTGTGGTGGATCAAAAGGCATTTCCAAGGGTGTTTTTAATCTTTTCCCATTTGGTTCTTGTGAAGTGTCTTAATTTCTTCTCAAATCACCCTGCTGCCGTTTTCGGATGACGTGCCGCATATGCGGGGACGATGGTGAGCTCATGGCTGTGAAGAATATTAAAATTAATGGCCATGAAGAAAAATTCATGGTTGAACACATGAAAAACTTGTGGCCATGAAGAAAATTCATTACAATTAATGGCCATGAAGAAAAATTTGTGGTTGAATTCATGGAGGATTCATGGCCATGAAGAAAATCCATTTAAATTCAATCAACCAGTTAATTGTTGGCTTTTTGACCTGAAGCAGAGGAAGAATTGCTGAACATGCAGTGTGTTTAAAGTGCATCAGTTCATTAATTTTAGATCCCAGCTTCCAAGTTTGTAGCAAATCACTGCCTTTCACTTTATTTAATAGGTCATGGTATATATTGGGGTGATGTAGGCTGGAGTGGTCCTCTTGGATGAAGTGGTGATGGATTTTGGGGTTGTTTTAGGGAGGGATATTTTTTACAGTATCAGCTTTGGAATATTGTAAATTAAAAGAAATCATTAAAATTTAAAAAGAGATAAAAAATGTAAAAATCACAGTAACAAACAAGATTTCTCCCCTGAATTAGAAACAAACTTATTTGTTTGATTGCCAAAATGTACCTCCGTGGTGGAATTACATCACCAGCGTGCATTTGGGGCAGCATAAATCAGCTCCAATGATCCCTATTTATTGGCACTTTGGGAGTTGGAGAGCACACAGCTTCAAGGCCATCATTTGCCAAAAGCCCTTAAAACTCATGCTCTGTGTTTAAATGTCATGGCTGAGACATTTTAAGAAAAGCATGAGGTCATTTTTCATCATCTCAAGCAAGAAAGTGCTCACTGACCCAGGGTTCACCCAAATTTCAAAAATCCTCACAGACATGCACTTTTAATCACAAGAATTTTGATATGCTAATTAATACAGTCACACTTTTTAATTTTATATGTTAGTTTTGATAAAGAAACAGCATTAACACACAAACTAGACTTAGTCGAGGTCTAAATTATCTTTGTGTGATTTCATTATGGCACCTATTCAAAGGATGAATTTGAATCTGAAGATTTAAAAGATTTATAAATGTTAAACTCCTGTGATTTTTTTTTTAAATACTGAGCTGCAAATTTCATCCTAAACCCACCCGGATTACACACTTTTTACAGGCAGTTTAGCAAGATTAATTCCTGTGTATGTCAATGGAAAAGGTATTTTTTCACCTTGCTACAATAATTGATTCTGTACTAGTACATTTGTGCTCCTTTATCAGGGACAGAGAGCAGAAAAACAGCCATAAATTACAAATTTCTCAGGTTTTAAAGTTTTCCCAAGTGGCATCCACTGGCCTTGTTTTTTTGGGAGCATCGTAGCAGAGGAAAAACGACTGTTTCACTGCAGAGCTCTGCCTGCATTTCTCTGACATGAAACTGCAAAATACCACACAGTTTAAAATCTGTATTCTGGAGGAGTTCAGGAGTAACAAACACAGGGATGTGAGAAAAATGCTGTTTTACTCTGTATAAAAACCATGACAGAATTAACTACCCTCCTCTTGGATGTGTGGTTTGATACCTGCAGTGATTTTGTGAAATGCAGATTATTTTTATAGTTCTGCGTGTGTTTAATTTTAGGCGTCAGCAAAAAAAATATAAAAACACAGCTTTAAAATACAATATTTCCATAAGATTCTTTTATAACTGACAGGGCTATTTTTTGCAATATATGACTCTTCTGTTTTGCTTTATAAGTGTATTTCCATGCCCACATTGAAATATATTTGGTAGCAGTTTCAATGCAATAAATGAACCAGGATTAGAAAAAAGAGAGAAGGTTTTTGTGCTCGGTTATTTTGTATTAAATTAAGTTTGTGAGATCTTAAAGACCAATTTCAGGTTAAAGTCTTCATTGGTGGCAGGGGCTTAACTATTTCCACAGGGCGTCAACACGATGCTTTTGAAAGCTGCTGTCAGTAAATCCATGAATAGTCTGGAAGTGGGAGCGTTTTATCTTCCAAGTCTTGTTTGGATATGGTGGAATAGAGACTTTCATGTGGAGGAAATTTTTGGAACTCTTGTGGATTGCAGGGATGAGCTTCAACAGCAGGGGGGTGGTTGGGGTCGGGATTTGCAATGGTGATGTGAAGGGAGATGAGAAAAGTCACTTTGTCCTGTTTCCATCATCAGTTTTTCCATGGATAATGTAAATAAAATATGATCCATCAATCATACAGAGAGTTTAAGAAGAATTCCTCCTGAGGAATTTTAAAAAAGGATGAGGCAGATTTCTGCTCAGTGAACAAAGGGGTTGGCCACATCCATTGGGACAAGCAGGAGCAGATGCTGGACCTTGGGAATCAGTGGCTGAGAGTGAATCCCTCTGCCAGGCTCAGTCCTTGGTCCAGTGGTTCCCCATTTCCATCTTCTGCTCAAAGAGCTGTTTCTCATGGCTGTTTCGCCAAGTGATGCAAACTTCTGGGAAAGTGGCCAAGGGCCTTCATCCTTGTCATGGCATCAGGGAGGTAGAGACTGTCCGGCCCTGGAATAGGGAGAAAAGCCTGGACAAAAGATGAAGTAGTCAATGAGCTCTTGGAAAATGGGTTAGAGACTTATCTTTGTGCTTAAATGCTTTTTTTGTTTTGTTTTTGCTTGTGCCAGTGGCCAGAGTCCAGGTCAGACAAAGCTCCAACTCACGGCCGAGGGGCCACTCTGCCCACGGCAGCCATGCCTGTTCCAGACGTAGGTGGTTCCCTGGTCAGGAGTCAGGCACAGAAGGAATATTTTCCTCCCACATTATGTGATGCATTGCAAGTGGACAAAAAGCAGCGTGGAGAGACCTGTGGACAGTCTGGCTTATATTCCTGGCTGTGGAATTAAGCCAGTCTTAGCAAGGAAGTCTTAGAAAATCCAGAGTGCAGGTAACACCAATAGAACGAGAATCAGGGTACTTGGCAGCTTTCAGGTCCTTTGAGGTGGAGGGGAGTGGATATTTGTCCTCCCTACTTGAGGTTTGGCTTATTTGACCAGTGCTAATGCTATTACCTCTCATATTAGTTATTTAATTAATTGTAATGGGTGAACGGAGTATTTGCGTGAGGTGGCTTTGGTTGGATCCCAACCAAAGGTGGGTTAGAGCACCTTCGGGTGCTCCAACAAGCTGCTGGTGGAGCTCTCCCCAGATGTGTCCTTCAGGCTCTTCTCTCCTTTTCTGATGACAGCAGCCTTTCTGGGTGGGCACAGTAGGAGTTTTATTTATAACTAATTGTGAATTAGGTGTTTAACACAACAGTCATGTACAGTCATTGGAAGCTGCAGCAGAAGCTGTATCTTGAGTTTGTTTTTGACCCTGGCTCCCTCTGTGGATGAGGATTATTTGCTGACACATCCCCATGTCCTCCCTCCTCTGGGTTTCCTAAATCCATCTGACAGGCAGAAGGCTCAAGTTTTATGAAAGCCAGTACCTACACAAAGGAGAAAGTTACACTTTTCTACTCCCATCAAGGGTGGGAAGCACAGTCTGAGCCAGGAGGTGATGGATTGCACTCGCCTGTGGGCCAGCATACGCCTGGCCAGAAGTCCACTGCCTCTCCTTGCCTGGCTGGTTTGGGGAGGGGAGGGGGCCAGGAGGGTGCAAAGCTGGGAATTCACTACAGCATGGACCTCGTTTGCCAACACAGGAAACCTTGGTGCACCCACATCTTGATGAGCATCTCAAGAGGTAATTGTAGGTTAGAGACCAAACAGACATTGGCCCTTCAATTTGGGGAAAAGCTTGGAGTGAGATATGACTGAGGTTCACAAAATCATCAAAGTGATGGGAAAAAAACGCTGTTTAGAACTGTAACTCACCAAATCCTGCAATTTACATTATGAATTATGGATTTAATAAAAGAAAAAAACTTGCCTATTGTGAACTTCTGGAGGTTAGTTAGAGAGAATGTAGGGCTCATAGTGCCAACAGGTTCCAAAAAAAATTGTGGTAGGTCCCTCTTTACACCTCTCTTGCCCATGAACTGAAGGAGCACAGAGGTGTCTCCTCTTTTCCCTCACCCCAAACTGCCGGGAGCTGGTGGGAAAAGGTGCCAGAGTGCAGAAGAGCCATGTGGATCCAGCCAGGTGTCACAGGGGAAGATCACGTGGGCAGGGCTGGGCCAGCAGTTGGGGCCAGGTGTTAGTCAGGGCTTTGGGCTTCCTTTTTCAGCAGCATTATTATTTTTGCATTAATTCCTCCCTTTCAGTGAGGCAAGAGCGACTCGGTGCTCCCAAGCATCAGTCCATCATCTGATCCCTCTGACAAACAAGGTGGATGCTTTATTTGTGATGCCATTTTAGTTTTCACCAGGAGAACTAAAGATTATTTCCATGGGAAGCCCTGATGTGCAGGAATTTCTTCTTGAGATTTGCAGCTGGAGCAGGTTTGCTTGGACAATGCACTCACCTTGGTTGTCTTCACTGTGCAAGCCTTTGTTTCCCAAGCCTATCCTCATTTTGCCCTTCTGAAGATCAATACTCTTAAATCCAATAGAATAACTTGGAACAGAGCTGAGGTTTCTTCAAAGATAGCCATTTGTTTGTAAATAAGAAAAAAATAACAAAGGGTCTTTTCTCTTAGAACAAGCCTTTTTGTCCAGATATCTAAAGTTACATGTTGTCTCTGTGATTTGGAGGAGTCTTCCAGATGGTACAATATCAACAATTCCAGTAAAATTCCTGCTATTTGGTATATTGATTTCTGCCTGTGTGCATTTCATTATGTACTGTGTACAGATAATCCACTTCACATGATTTTATTCTAATCCTCACTCTTACTTTCCTTGCAGACTTTATCCATTGGGGTGCTTGATATTTTTGGGTTTGAAGACTATGAAAACAATAGCTTTGAACAATTCTGCATTAACTTTGCCAACGAGCGCTTGCAGCACTACTTTAACCAACACATCTTTAAACTGGAACAGGTAAGTCCAGAAATGTTTACTCTCTGATGCCAGTGAGTGTTGACATGACTTTGTGGCCCTGATAAAGTTCCGAAATTGTCCCTTTAATTCTGTTTTGTTAAGGAGTGTACTCTGAATTATTCAAATTTAACTTCTAATTGACTTTATGACCAACTTCCACCTGTAAAATAAAATCCAGCCAGACATTTGCTGGTTTAAAATAAACATTTTGGCTTCCAAAAACATCATGAAGACCTTAACCACTGCTCTGTTGTCTCCTTGATACGTGATCAGAGGTCTCATCAAGGAATGAGCAATTCCTTCCTTGCCTTTTCCTGGACATGCTGTCATGCCATTTGGTATCACATAAAAGTTATTTTTTGTTGTCTAGAGAAAAAGCCACCCCAATCTCACTGTGTTTTTTGCCTTCCAGTGTTGATTTGTGGGGAGGGAGGGGAAATGTCACTCTGATGTGTTCCCCAAGGTCAGATTTGAGAGCATTATGACATCCAATAGCCCTGGCAGATTAGGAAAGGCTGAACTTTAAGCTTTGCTTTATGTTTGTTAAGACAGGGTGTTGCTTTCCAGCCACAAATTAATGCACTTAAGAGAGATAACAAAAACACAGACGGCAATCCAGCAGGTAACACACACCAAATGGTTTAGATGGGTGGAGGCTTCTTCTCCATTCGTTATCCAACCAGCAGGACAAGAAGACTGGAAGTTTCTTTTCAACATCTGTGTGTTGTTTCATGGATGGACAATTATTATTGGGCTGTATAATATAGGAGATATGTTAGAGAGCTTCTAAATGCCTTTTTTTTAACATGACAGTCTGCATATCCTCTCTCCAGGTGAAATCCTTCTTGGGGGAGGCCAAGGGGAACCCTCCCTATAATCATTGCAGAATTAACCCAGCCCTTCCCAGAAATCCCGATAGTTTCATGTTGGGCTCCTCCAGTGTTCTCAGAGACTGGAAAATGCAGAAGAAAAAGCTGCCTTGAATATGAGGTTGTTCTAAAAACAAGTAATATATCCCTGAGTGTGTCACTTAGGGATTGTTTGCTCATGAGTTGGATGGTTTAATCTCTTTAGTTTTGATCAATAAGGTGGAGCAGAGCTGCTCAAAGCCATTTAATTTGAGTTTTTAAGTGGCCTTTGTATGCAGGTGCACCCTACTCAATAGATGCTCCAAGTATTGGAAGACCTATCTATTCCTAAGGACAGGATTATTTTCCCATTGTCCACCATAAAAATGCAAATTTTGAGACTATCACAAAGTCAAACCAGCTGGATTTTTTATAAATGCTGCCACACACTTCCTAGAAGAGACTCAGGGAGGGAGGATCCTTCCTGAAAGCTGGAGACAGACGATTCCTCCTTGAGGTGGAGTTTCAGCAGCCTCCTCCAAGATGCCATCATCCATGAGGGAATTCCTGTTACTGGGCTGGGATTTGTGAGCAGGTCAGTGCTCCCCCAAACCTGGGGGATATACAGAGGTCCTGAGCGTAGCAATCCCTAATTCTTCTTGGAGCAGCTTCAGAGATAATTAGTTTTCTCCTGGGAATCTGTCAGGCATGTGAAGTTGCTGGAGTCCGTGTTTGCTGTATGGATATGAGGAGCAGTTGTGGAGCCATCAAACTGCAAAGGGCCCATTCCAGTTCTTAATGCCAGAGCACGTCATCCTCCTGGATCCTGGCTGGAGCACTGCGAGCTCTGCTGCTGGAAAATTCAGACATCTTGGCATAGATTGAGTCTATAAATACATGTAATCTGTGCAGCTGCACGAGCGCTGATCCTTGAGTGAATTAACTGGATAATTTAACCATTTCTTTTCCCTGGAGCTCTGGCTGCGTGTGGAGGAGTGGATTTGGTGGAAAGAAAACTCAAGGACGCATATTCAGATCCTGGGTCTTCTTCCTTCCTTCCTCACTGGCCCAAAGGTTTTTTTAGTGATAATCACGAGTCTACAAATGAAGACCAGGGAGTTAATAATGTGTTTCTAGGGAGTAAAATAGTTCTGTTACTTCAAAATGTGAATTTATCTGAGGTATTTGTGTCTTTATAAAGGTTTGTTTCATGTCTTGGTGATGGGGATCTGAAATGGATAGATCCTTCTCTGAATCCTCAGCTCCCCAAAGTTTGTAGGAGGCTGAAGAGAGATTGCTGAGATACCCAGACGCTTCTGCCAAAAAAATTAGTAACAAAATTAAATAATCACTAAGGATTTTTCTTGAAATCCTAATAGAATTTGTCTGCCAGAACTGCATTTAGCCATGATGGAATTGTTGCCATGACATGCTGTTGATATTATGGAAACCAAAATACCCACCACAGTCCTCTAGGAGAACCATAGGATTTTTTTTACCTTTATTCCCCTTTTTTCTCCATGGTGAAATCTAATACAGTGTGTCTGGTGAATCTTTTTTAAACCTTCTGTCTGAAGATGACACTATTTCCAGTGGTTTGCAAACAACCACCAAGGCATCCTCGATCTTGAGCCTGGTGTCTCCCAAAAATCCAGCTGCTCTTGTGCTGTGGCTGAGGGGCTGCAAAGGTTTTTGCAGCAGCAACCTCCTCTCCTGCAGCTGACCACAAGATAAGGGTAAGGACTTTATGAATCCTGCTCTACTCCCAGATCCAGATCGGTGATCATCCATTTATTAATGTAGAAAGGTGGCTATGGCAGGGTTGTGACCTTGCCCCATCACGGAGCAAAGGTGGTTTTCTCCTCCTCCCCAGGTATCTCACAGGTTCCTGTGGGGAGGTTGGGTGAGGGGCTGTAGCTGGTGGCTTCAGCTGCTGCCTCATTGCTCTGGGCAGCACAGGGATGGGGACTCCTCTGCCATTCCTCTTTCAGGCTGGTGGCTTCAGGTGACACATCCCTGTTGCTCTGGGACACACTGGGTGCTGTCAGAGCATCACCTCAGCAGCGATTCTCTGTCCCCAGGCCCAGCTCCATCTCTGTGCCCTCAAGTGGCCTCCTGTGCACAGCAGATAAGCCCAGAGCAGAGCCCTGAAAATCAGAGAACACCCAGGTGCTTCTGGAAGAGGAAAACAGCATTTTTGCATTGCACCTTGCCTTTTGTTCATTTTTTTTTTAGGGCATTGCATGGATGAAGATTTAGTTTGGAGGTCACCAGTACCATACCACCCATGATGAGTTTCCTCCAAGTTTCCAGGTCTTTGGCAGTTTAAGGGCCTGGAGTATGAGTTTTTATTTCTTTATATATATCCCATTCTCCAAACTTTGTCATCTTCGTCCTCACTAATCTTCCCCCATCCCTACCAAGGCGCTTCTGGTTCTCCCCACCTCACCCACCTTTCCCTGTTCCAGCTGATGCTTTGCAAAGGTTGAGGACTCATCCTGCAGCTTTTCATCCCACAGGTCTTTGCTATTCAAGTTCTTTTCTACCTCTTTTTCCAGCTTTTGCTTACCCACCAAACCTCAGTTTCAAGGGCATGCTTTTATTGTTTTAAAAAATCGATAAATAACCAAGGTTGGGGCTGAGAAAACCTACAGAATTTGGAATACAATCAACTGGCAGGAGCTCAGGTATTCAGTGAAGTCTATTTTCTGGTGGGGTCCCTGGAGAGCTTGATGTCCCAGCCAGCAAATCTCAGCCTGCTCAGCCTGAAAAACAGAATTTCATCAGGATAATGCATCCTATGGAATGTTTGCTCAGCCATCCAAAGCTCCATAAATAGTTACGGAGGTCTGTAGGGTTTACTGGTCCTGTGCAGTAGGTGGAGAAATCCAACAGTCTGGACTAAGTCATGGTGGTGTTTGGTTAAAGGTGTGATTTGATGGTCTTGGAGGTTGGTCACTACCTCCAGTCACCTCTGAGTTTCACCTCATGATTCTGAGGAGCAACAGCCTTGAGGGAACATGACACTCCAAAATGAGTTTAGATATCTTACTTAAATATTACATTTAGAAATTAATGTGGGAGTGAATTAATTTTAAAAAGCATTTGAAAAATCTAAAATATTTAAATTTAAAATAACCTATGAAAAAGGGTCTCTCTTCTACTGCTTGGAGCACTCTTCCTTTCCTTCCAGCCAGAGTTTTTTCTGTATCTCATCACTGGTTAGGCGTTAACGCCTCCTTATTGCCTCTGAAGGCAAGAGCCAACCATCAGAAGTCAACCATTGAGGCCTGGGAGGCTCGGTTCAAATTTCTGTTTTCCTTGGAGATGGGAGAGCGGCTGTCCTCTGAGAAATGTTGCTGTCAGCTGCAGGCCACATGACCCGTGGAGAAAGAACAAGCTGCACAAGCTATTGATTTATTATTTGGCGGAACGCCATCGAATGCAACTCACGTTTGGGGGAAGAGGACGGTGTTTGGAGCACATAAATTATACTAATAAAAATCAGGATGCCGAGAGCTGTTTAAATGGTGTCTGCAGGGTAGGAAGATTTCGAAGCACATTAGTGAAATGAAGGACTGCTCTGATCAGAGCTGTGCTAGGGTGGGTTCAGGTTGGACATCAGGAGGAATTTCTTCATGGAGAGGGTGGTCAGGCACTGGAACTGCCCAGGAGGTGGAACCCCCATCCCTGGAGATGTGCAAGGAATTCCTGGACGTGGCACTCAATGCTCTGGGCTGGTGATGAGCTGGGGATCAAGCACAAGTTGGTCTGGGAGGTTTTTTCCAAGCTCAGTGATTCTGGGATCCATTGTCAGTCCCCCAGAGCTTTGTCTCGTGTCCTCCCAGCACCCTTGACTCCATGAATGTTGCATGGCTGGGACTGGGGCTGAGTGGCTTCATTTGCCACACACTTGTTTCTGGGTTTCTCCAGATGATGAGCAGTAAATATATAAATATAATACATAATGTACAACGTGTGAGAGGATATATCCTAATCTGTTACATTGTTTGTATATCCTCTGATCCCATGGGTTAAATTGAGTTGGAAGGGACCTGAAAGATCATCCAGTTTCAACTCTCCTCATATGTAATTTCCTAAACTTTAATTTAATCCCAGTGCAAGGAAGTGCTGCATCTGGCAAACCCATCC